AAGTTCAATTGCGGAACTGGGATGTTGTTTGGATATCAATTTCTTATTGCCCAATAAAGTTTTGTTGTTTTAAGCATTGCTGTTTATTCTACATAATCTTGGATTTTTTTATTACCCAAAAGAGACCAATAATGGTATAGATGAAGACTGGTATAAAGAATCTAATGAAGCCGGTACAACAGACTGATCAGTGATCTAGAAAGGTCTGAAATATTCTTACCGTGTTTCTCATATAATAAGGCCGGGTCTTATTCTTTTTTTGAGCCCGAAAAAACGGCTAGGCCGTCTTTTCGGGGGTGACTTAATTCCCCCCCCCCCTTGCATCTTAGGGCAGGCGGCAACAGCTTGGATGTTGACCTTGGCGTTGGTGGGGCACTTTGTATCAGGGTCAACGCAGGCAGCACCATATCAGGGTATGCAACAAAAGTACTTCCTAACAGAAAGCCCCTCCCCTGCCATTTCTCCCCCATTTCGCATGTTTTAATATAGGCCTTAATTTGGGGGGAGGGGCTTAATTTCATTTCATGCTTATAAAACATGCTGGGACTTCCTATTGGGGGAGGCCGTATTGTTGGAGAAACAGGGTATATATAAGACCACAATTGAGTCCCAAATTTACACTGCTAAGCAAGACAGCTGTTAAATGAGAGTTCTGCTCCATTTTATGAGGTTTCTTGCCACAGTCGTTAAATGAATCATTACAAGTTACTAAGTAAGTAATATAGTTGTTTCTGCACTGATTTTGCTTGTCAGAAGGTCGCAGAAGGTTACATGATCCCGGGACACTGCAGCTGTCATAAATACATGCCAGTTGCCAAGCACCTGAATTTTGATCATGTGACCATGGAGATTGTGTCATAAGTGTGAAAAACTGTCATAAGTCACTTTATTCAGTGCCACTGGAACTTCAGACGATCACTAAATAAATGGTTGTAAGTCAAGGATTATCTGTAACATATAATCTTGAATGTTTTTTTCAGTAAGAAAGCATAGTTAATACTGGTGTGTGTTGTTTTTTATTTATGAGACTAAATATGAAGTTTAATAAATGGAGCTTCAAATGGAGCTGATAAGCGACTGGCAAACCACTGTTTTTCTAGCTAGATTTCAAGAGATAAAGTTGCAACTCATGGGAAGACCAGTTTGTCAGCAAAAATCCTATAAGATGGGCTGAATGTAGACATGTAATGACCCTTAACATGTATAGCAAGGATTCTGTTTCTTTTAAATGTGGAAATTTGTAGCACGCTCAGAATTTATCCAATGGATAAAGAAACTGATTTACTTTATCAGATATTATGAAATAAGTAGCACCTTAAGAAGTCCACTTAACATCTATGCTGATTGTTTGATAACTTTAATGTAAGCTAATGTGTAAATCTTGATTAGTGATGTAATTATGTGCCATCAAGATAGTGCCAACTGTTAGTGATCAGATAGTCTCCACAATTGTATGCCCCCGACCTAATCTTTCAGATCTTCCAACAGCATATCCACTGCCAGCATCAAGAATATGAATATTCTTTCAGTCCTGCTTTTTCAGTTTAAATTTTGCTTCCATGGGAGATATTGTGAAAACCATTGCCTGCATGTTTTGATGGCCTCTGAATATTAATTCTTACTTCGCCATGTGCTAGTCTGCACTTTTTGACTTATTATTTTATTCTTGATCATCAGTCCTAAGAGGCAGAAGCTGTCCACCACTTCATCGCTTCACTGCCAATTCTAAGGCTGAGTAGTAATAGTAGTAGTAGTAGTAGTAGTAGTAGTAGTAGTAGTAGTAGAGTAATGTCATCAGTACAGTACAAATTATTGATGCATCTTTCTTCAATTTGAAATCATGTTCATTTTCTTCCAATCCAACATTCAGGCTATTTGGAAGTGATTTCACTATATGGTTCCTGGTTTTCATCCTATATGACCTACCTGTCACATCTTTGCTGGTCCTAAGCTGTAATTGCTTTGAATGCCAAGTCAACTTGTACCACCTTGCCCTCACTCATAACCTTATCACAGATAAGGATTCCAACTTGGCATGTATCACTGAGTCCTGGCTGAGTTCAGAAGGGGATATACCCCTCTTGGAGCTGTGTTCACCTGGGTTTTAAACTCAGTATCAAATGAAAGCCCAGGGAAGGTAGGATTATCAACCATGAGTCTCAAAGGCTCTCAAACTCACACTTCCACATAAAACCAGGTATGTGCCAGAGGTTTAGCCCTAGATAACTGTTGCATTTGCTGCTGATATATATATAGGTAGTCTTCGACTTATGACCACAATTGAGCCCAAAATTTATGTTGCTAAGTAAGACATGTTTTAAGTAAGTATTGCTCTATTTTACTTGTTGTTCTTGCTGCAGTGGTTAAGGGAATCACTGCAGTTGTTGAGTTAGTGACCCGGTTGTTAAGTGAATCTGGCTTCTCCATTGACTATGCTTGTCAGAAGGTTGCAAAAGTTGATCGCCACAATGCTGGGACATTGCAACCATTGTAAATGTGAACCAGTTACCAAGCATCTGAATTTTGATTAGATGACCATGTGGATGCTGCAACAGTCGTGTGAAAAATGTTCATAAGTCACTTTTTTTCAGTGCCACTGTAACTTTGAATGGTCACTAAACGATTTGCTGCAAGTACTGCCCTCCTCTTCCAGCAGTATCATAGCCTGAGCTTCTGGATTTTGTCAGAGAGTTAATCATGGAATTCTTGCTGTTAGGGCAGAGGGTTTCAACTGACTTCTAGATGAGCAGCCTACATATGGAGAACGCTGGAAGCAGCAGAATTTTTAGACCTGTACAAGTCAGGTTTCAGGCCAGGATTCAGAACTAAGATAGCTTTAGTCATGCATGTTTAGTGTATTAGAGTGAAAATAGTCCATCTATTCTTGTTGTGGAAATAATGCTTCCTCTTTTTTTCTTCATAGTTAGTTCCAGAACAATCCTACCAAGTTTGAGTGATTGTGAATACTTGGGCTCCTCAAAGCTGTGGAATTTCTATCTATATTCTTGGACAGGATGTAATTTCCCATTCAAGAGTGATACGTGATTGGGGGGGGGGGGGGGGGGGTTGTTTCTTGCTGAAAAGCAGGTACTAGTGGAAGCTGTGGCCAAGGGAGCCTTTGTACAGCTTCATCATGTATGACAATTGGACTCCTTCCTGGATTGGAGGCCTTTCTGACAATCATTCATGCCCTAATAACCTCACAGCTCAGCTACTGAAATATATTCTACATGGGACTATGCTTGAAAATCACTCAGAAGCTTCAATGAGTCCAGAATGTAATGATGTGGAAAGTGATAGGCAAGTTTTGGTATGTCCATGTGGCACTCATGCTTCACAAGTTGTACTACTAGCCAGTATGTTTCTGAGTGCAGATCAAGATGCTGATAACTAAAGCCATGCCTGGCATAGGGTCAGGTTATGTGATGGATTACCTAACCCCATGGTTTCTGCTGACAGAGCTGGGGTACTTGGGTTTTGATTAAATACTGCATCTACTGGAACCTAGAAAGTGTGTGTTTTCTGCCATGGCACCTGAATAAGGTCCCCTTCCCTGACATCTATCTGGCTCCCACTCTGTTGGCATTAAGTTAGGCCTTGAAGTCCTGGTTGCTGTCCTAGGCCTAAATGGATATAACCTTTGTAAAATGTCTTTTTTTTTTTAAATAGAGCAACCAGATGTTTTTGGTTTAGTATGTTGTGAGCTACCCCTAAGTTAGATGGACTTTAAATTGAATTAAATAAATAAAATTAAATAAAGGCTTGCAAGAAAATGTAAGTTGAAATTGTATAATAAACAAGCAACCAAATGTACAATATTTATCCATTAAAATGACACTAACAACATAAATCTTTTTCTAAATAGTACTGAGTTAGGCTTTCTTTAAAACAATTTTTGACTGTGCTAAAAACTACCAAGAACTCAGAGGACAAGGAACTGCACAATCAGTAAAGCTTTGATTGCTGAATGAAATATCCAGACAAATTTCCATTCAGGAGGTAATTTTTAAAATACTTTTGGTCTTAAGGATTAAAATATCAAATTGTGCCCAAAAGCAAAGAAGCAATCAGCATAACTAAGGCAGGCACTAGTCACAATGATGGAATATATTATTTTCCATGTACCAAGTCCTTGCTTCATCCTATCATTGCGAAATAAAGAGATAATGACGTGATGATACTGAGATTAATAAGAACAAACAATACCAAGTTGAAAGAACAATCTGTCTGATCTGCTACAATGCAGCTTTCAGAGTTTGAATAACTCTGAAATGACTGTTCAGAATATTTCCGGTCATATAGATTCTTCCACTTGAGCCACTTGATTTATCCAACCTGAAAAGTAGTTGATAAGTGAAGAAAGCTAATGGCCATTGTTATTATCTGGGTGTCTGGGGCAAAATCTTGTTTAAAAAGCTTACAATGGACATCTGATTGTTAAAGGGAACCCAAAACAAGATCAACAATCAGTCCTGAAGTAGCACAGTGCTTTCATTTTATCAGGATAAACATTTAACTCACTTATTCTCTTTGCATTCTTCACCATGTTATATGGTGATTTTACGCTGATTTGGTAAGCATGGGAAGAAATGACAGCTCAACAAAAAGCAAGCAAGAGAGTAAGTCCTTCCCATTCAGCTAAAGCACAAATAAACAGATACTGTAAAATTGAGATTTTTCTGAAGTATAAATATGTACACCAAATTAGTCTACGTAAAGAAGTCATGTATGGAATAAAATATGGATTTTTTCAAATGTCCCTCAGATATATTAAAGTACTTAGAATGACATCCTTCGATCACAGAACTTGCTATTATCAAAACCAATTTAATAATATTTAAATAAATTATTTAGAGCAGTATTTCTCAACCTCAGCAACTAAGATATATGGACTTCAAATCTCAGAATTCCCCAGTAAGCAAGCTGCTGAGATTGACAAACATGGTTTAAAGAATAGGTTCACAATACTTCGTGCACTAAAGCATTATGAGGGAAAATACCTCTTTTTTGCTCTCCTTGTTTTGTTCAACCTCGATGTCAATAGGGTTATTCCCATTTGCTTCTTCGATTTCATCCTCACTGAAAATAAATAAGACAATGGAAAATTATTTCTCTGTCAAGATTGCCAGAAGTTCCCAGGTAGATACAACTTTTTAAAAAACCTACATTTTATTGTTTATTGCATAATTTCCCTTCTTACATATTTCTATATATCAAAATAAAGTGTGATCAAAATAAGTATCCAGAGAAGTTCAAACTGAGGGTATGATGTTGACATATAATTTAAGGTGATGTAATAATAAAATGAGAGCAACTTTGTGTAATGGCTATAACCTTCAGGCTAGAAACTGAAAGACCATGAGTTCTGAGCCTTGCCTTGTGCACAAAGCCACCTGGGTGATCTTGGACCAGTGATTTTCTATCAGCCCTAAGAAGGAAACAATGGAAAACCACTTCTGAAAAACTTTGCCAAGAAAAATGCGAAGACTTGTCTAGGCAGTCTTTGAGGATTGGACACAACTGAAAGTAAGAAAAACAATTAAAAAATGGAAGCACAAATGATAATTTAAGCGACACTCTGATAATTTTACAATAAATAGCATAATTTTTTGAATGACCACCTATTCTATTATATACTGGAAAAAATATAAAAGTGCTGAAAAGCCTATTGCTCAAGTGTTGATTCAAAACAGAAGTTATCAGCCTCCAACAACTAATAATTGCTTTTATTGTCTATTAGTTTTTACTTTTATAAAAATGTTTCCTCGTACTACTACTTCACAAGCTTCTGAGGGGTTTTTTCCCCCAAGGGATGTGTCAAGTAGACATAAACACCCCAATACTCTGTACTTTATCTCCTTAAATAAATGGAATACAAAAGTTCAGCACAACTATTGCTATTGTAACTACTAAAAGTCTTTCAAATCTAGCAGTGTATAAATCTAATAAAACAAACAACAAGAAAACAAAATGAATAAATGTCTTCCTGTGGAATGGCCTATTTATTAAAATCACATATGTTCTCTTCTTGATTTTTATAAATGTCAGATTATACCTGCTAGGGAGCATATGCTCAGCAATATGCCCAGCTATGCGCATGTGTTTCTTTTGGCTGAGAAAAATATATTTGGTTAATAATAAATAAGAAATAATAGTCCATTTTCAGGAAAAGGAAACTACTGAATCTGAGAGGACAAGTAGCCTGATTGAAGTATTTTATTTATTTAGATTTTTAATCTGCTGTATATGGATTTTAATCTGCTGTATATGGAGGATTAATAACCATTTTAAAACTGTCACTACCACAAAATAAATTGCTATTTTAAGCATTGCACTTGGATAATTATACTAGATCATAGTATGACCGCATATGGCTGAAAAATAGGAGCTTGGCAAATAACTATAACAAAATGGGACTATTATTATCTTCACCATTGTCATCATCATATCATCCTGCTTATCCAGCTAGTACAAATCTTGCCACAAGTCTACTGTGAGCATACTTTATGTAATGCCAACAATATTATATATATAGATTGCTATAATGTGTCTGATGAAAGAACTACCAAGGCTGAACTTACCACATGGTCAGGTCTGAAGTTCTGATATTAACCCATAAGATCCTACAGAACTGAGGATCAGGATCAAGCATTTTCCTATAATTATAATTAATTAGAATATAGTATGAATCAATCCATACCAGGGGATACTTCTAGAACACGGGTGTCAAATTCGATTGCATCACGTCACATATCATAACATGTGACTTTTTTGCCTTTGCAGTGCCGGGGTGCGCCTGGCCTGCATGTGACGTATCTGGCCCACAGGCCACCAATTTGACAAGCCTGTTCTAGAACTTACATTTGCTATTTTTCTATCGAAAGGTTGCTCATAATTTCCAATGGAAAGTATTGGCAGTTATTACTAAGACATGTTGCAGTATGTTTCTGCCCAACCACTGTATATTTGGAGGTATTTATTTGTTATTCAATAAAGAATGAAGCCTTTTTGTTGTGGTATCTAGTCTATTGAATACTATCGTCACCCCATTCATAGAAATAAAGCTTGAATTAACATTATTACAATTTAGTTACATGTTTAAAATATTTATGTTCAATCTGACATTTAATAGAATAGAATTCTTTATTGGGCAAGTGTGATTGGACACACAAGGAATTGTCTTGGTGCAAATGCTCTCAGTGTGCATAAAAGAAAAGATACATTCATAAAGAATCAAGAATCATAAGATACAACACTTAATAATAGTCATAAGGCACAATAAGCAATCAAATCATACTAGGAAACAGTAAATATAAATCGTAAGATTACAAGTGACAAAGTTACAGTCATACAGTCACAAGTGGGAGGGGATGGATGATAAGGAGTGATGAGAAGATTAATAGTAATAGTAATGCAGAGTTTGTAAATAGTCCGACAGTGTTGAGGGAATTATTTGTTTAGCAGAGTGATGACAATCTCATTTGATTATACTGTTTATTACTTATTATGAACTCTTGTATTGTTTTACAGATTGTATCTATGAATTTGCATGTATATATTTTAATATAATACACATACAAGTTAACTTGCTGACCAGAAATTTTTCTGTTTGTAGATTGGGTTAGTTCCCAATGAAATCAGTAAATATTATATCATCATCTACCTTTCAAGTACATAAGCTGGAGGTTCCTAAATTGTCGGTGATAACTACTTGGGGGAAAGTACTGATGATGTTACCTAGTTTGGGTAAGGAAACATCTGCAAGAAAACAACCAAGCTCAGACAACACTGAGGACCCCTCAATTTGTGACTTTCCCCCCCAATTTTTGGCAAAAAACCCACCCACTGGATATGCTGGATTTGCTTAACCATGTGGTTCACTTAATGACCGTGTTAATTCACTTTATGACAATCGTAAAATCATAAAATCATGTCTAGTCATGTGGTGCCTCAACTTATGACTGCAATGACTTATGACCAAAATTCTAGGCTCCACTGTAGTTATGAGGTAAGTACTATGTGTACATAGAACTTTGTCTTATTCTGCCTGTACTTGCCCAGCCAGAGTGAGCAGCAAAATCTACAGGGAGATCTGATAGAAATGCTGTGATTAGAGGATGGTTTCCTTCACAGTGGTGACCTTATTGTTGTAGCATCTACTCTTTCAGCAATATTTGGAATTTCTGTGCAATGAAGTTCAGTATTAATAAAGTTAGTAAACTTTAATATGTCAAGTTTAGATTTTTCATTATTATTTTATTTTTGTAACTTTTAAAAGTGATAAAGCTTTTAAAGGTAAGATAAGGCAAGTTTAAATATGACAGATGCATCAGTAGTGCCAATAAAATTAAGTCTATGTCAAGAAAGTATGATGAAAGTTACATATATTTTTGTTTCAGAAGTATTTTTGGAGAAAAATAACCTCAGTGTGTTATTTCTTAGAAAAATCTATTTGTTGAGATTGTGAAGCCAGATATAAATTACAGATAATTTGCTAACAAAGCTCAATTCCCCTCCACCCTCATTTTTCAGACATACTTTTGTTTGCTTTCCAAAATGAAAAAAAAAGCATGTGATCAAATATGTATGGAATGGTTATGTTTTTAAAGGAAAAATTAAATCTTGACCCAGAGTAATATTAGCCTGTCTCTCCACTCTTATCAATAGCAACAGCAACAGAATTTAAGACCACCCATAGTGCTTGACAGTATTCTTTGGGCAGTTTAAAATGTCAGTATATTGCATCCCAAAATCTGGGCCGATTTTACTAACCTCAAAAGAAAGGAAGGCTGAGTCAACCCTTCAGAATCAGACTCCAGGCTGTGGACAGTTAGCCTGCAATACTGCAGCCTAACCACTAAGCCACCAGGCGGAATGGGACAACTCGCCACGGCTAAGGCCCAGGTGCAAATTTGCCTTGGCCAATTTGCCGTGGCCAGCTTGCCATGGCCAACTCAGCAAGGACAATTCACCACAGCCAATTCGCCATGGGAAAACTCGCCGCAAGATAATTCAACAATTTTATTTAATTATTTAAAATAAATTTTAAAATTATTTTAATTTTGGTCATTCACATTTCATCCCTTCTTTTGCATCCTTTCTTTAATGATTCTATTTCATCATTTTTTCTATATTATGTAATTTTTATCCTGCGACAAGTTGTCCTACGGCAAATTGGCCATGTTGAATTGTCCCTCAGCAAGTTGTCCTAGATCTCCACCAGGGCTCTTATTGATGTTAATGGAATAAAAGACACACTCTATTGACAGAGAGCCAATTCAAAAATCAAGAGAGGCTGCAAAATGTAATTAGTTTAAGATTTAAGTCCATGGTAGCACTGCTGTTTGATTTTAAGAGAATAATCATTTTGCTATGTCCCATGCTTGATAAAGCCAAAGTTTATATACAATAATCAATTCCAAAATTTTCTCATATAATTTGGCAAAAAGTTAAATCTCATTTCCCTCCCAAACTGATCTAATTTTGAAGTTTTTTTTATTAAAAGAAATAAACTGAAAACTATAAGTTTAGTTAAAGTAAATAATAACCTTTTCAAAAGCATTTGTTTCTTTTCAAGTTCAGAATCATCTAGTGAGCACATTCTAGATATAATTCCTGGCATCTTGATTTGAAGCAGTGTTTCTCAACCTTGGGAATTTGAAGATGTATGTACTTCAATTCCCAGAAGCAAATATTTTCTGGTTTCCAGGATTAAGAAACATTATTTTAAAGGATCTAATAATCCTTGACTTTTGATTGTCAGTGTCCTACCTCAAGAATCAGAACAGACAACACTGGGCTAAAAAGACCAATAATCTCATCTGATATAAAGGAGCTTTCCATGAGACCAAATTTGACTTTAAAATACAAATAATAGGTGTTATACACAAACATGCTAGCTAGTCAAACCTCTAGAATTTACTAACACTAGTGTGTGTTTAAAATAATAAATTATTGATTATGACCCTTGCTAGTTTTTGCTGATTACACTGAGATTAATGTGATTAATTGACTATTTCAATTCACTAACAGCTTCAATTAAAGAGATGTTGTGAATATTGTGAACTTTTTGTGAACTT